AGATAGGTAGATAGGTAGATAAGTAGATAGGTAGGAGATAACTAGATTGATTCATAGATTGGTAGGTTCATAGATTGATAGATTGGTAGATTGATAGATTGATAGGTTGTTAGATTGATAGATTGACAGATAAGTAGATAGATAGATTGATAGGTTGTTAGATTGATAGATAGACAGACAGACAGACAGACAGACAGACAGACAGATAGATAGGTAGATAGATAGATTGATAGATATAAGGCAACATGTGTAGGTGTGTATATATATATATGTATGAATATATTCGTGCATGTAAAGATATAAATACATGTGTATGTATGTATGTATGTATGTATGTATGTATGTATGTATGTATGTATGTATGTATGTATGTATTTATGTGTATATATATATATACATATATATTATTTGTATATGCACATACGCATACGTACATACATAAATGCATACATACATACATACATACATACATACATACATACCTACATACATACATACATACATACATACATACATACATACATAAATGCATACATACATACATATATACNNTACGTACATACATAAATGCATACATACATACATACATACATACATACATACATACCTACATACATACATACATACATACATACATACATACATACATAAATGCATACATACATACATATATACGTACGTACGTACTTAAGTACAAACATGCCTGCATCCATCCATGCATGCATACATATATGTATATGTATCTAATGTTTTTTAGGGCCATGTACCACTTAGGGTGGTCGGTTGGTGCTTTCGGGGAGCCTGGGTTAAGGGTTTAGCAGGCTTTGGTATGTGGGGGTCTGGAGTCAAGTTCCTGAAGCTGATCACCTGACACTTACCTCCCTGAAATGCCGAGTGGCACCGGTTGAGTAGCAAATGCGGCGACTCCTCAGAAACCTTGATCTGGCTGGAGTTGTTGCCAGAAAGGATGTACATGCCTCGGGTTGCATGCACCCGAGCTTCATGCATCTAAGGCGTCGCTAAGAATGTCACGAAAAAAGCCATCCAGCTCAAGTGCCAAGGCCATACCAGATGAGCATTGCCGACTCCGGTTGCACGTTTCTCCAGAACAGCGTACATGATAGGGCTGCTGCCCAGGCTGCCAGAACTGATGGACGGGTCCCGGTGCAGATGAGCATAAGCTCTGCAAGCAGAATATTGCTAGTGAGGAGAAGGTTCAGCTCTTGTAGCCCTGCTGATCCGGTGCACGTGCGGCAGGAGTGGTCGTAAGACGAAATGGCCTGCAAAGCTTTTCCAGAGGGAAAAAGAGAGACAACGACAAACTGCCAGGTTGACAACAAGCGGCGAGAAAGGCAGCAAGACTGTAGATGACATCCTCCGACGCCTGAGTTTGAAACCAAGTCTGGTACCTTTTATAGGTTGAGCCATCAGGACACAGCCGTAACTACACTCAGATCACTTTTTGCCATGTTGCGGCCGCGGAGGCCAAATGCAACACAATGACCGAGACGACGGTCAAGACGAGGAGCCACAGAAGTGCAGCGTCCTGAGCTCAGAATTTGAGTACAGTGTACTTAGAAAGGCTTTCGGGTGCCAAGGGCTTTGGGTGGGGCTTAGTTGGTTTGAAGTCTGCAGTGACGCCGCGTCAAGGACAAACGCAAGAATGTTTGACCCATAACCCTAAAACCCATAATCACCATAATCTTAAACCTAATGACGTTCCCGGGGTTTCAATGCACCACAGGAAACGAGCAAGCTTTCTAATCTTGTAGATCATGGAAGTCGCGAAATGCTGCACCATGCGACAACAAAGAGCCACGTGGAAGAAGGCCGACACCACATCGCGTCTGTTGCCAAGCCGGGCCAGTGCTAAGGATATCCACTTCACACCTCAGACGACTTCGCGTGAGGTGGTGTGAATCTAAGGACTTTAGGAGGGACCCCTAATAGGGACCCTTAATCCCATTACCTTAAATAACCATTGTATAGTCCTTATATACCTCCCATTGTTTCGTCCTTACATCCAAAAAGTAAGTTCGACATGGTCCTGGTGCGAACAAGGGACTGACCATCTGGCGCGGCGACAATGGCGCACGGCTGTACTAACTGCATGAGCAGAGCGGCGGCAAGATCGCAATACCTACACCTGTGGAACCCTTCACATCTCATGGTTTTGGCATTTGGATTTTGATGGATCCAAACTGCCACACCATGGCAGTCCCGCTGCACAAGCAAATCATACGCTTTTCGAGCAGGAACTGAATGCATCATGAGCCATGACGAAATCGCAGTTGCACATGTGCTGATGCACCTAAAGCATAAGCTGTGCAGACCTGACAGGAAACCCAAACCGAAATAGCACATCGACAGGCTCTCTGGCTACGTGCCGCAAAGATTTGTAAGAAAGCGGCCACGATTCTGCCACTGACGATCCACAACCTCGCCAATAATCAACAGCGGTGACGCAATCAAAACAGCGCTCGGGTATCACCAGCATCATCGTCGCTGTAAAGTGGTACCCAAGGGTATGGTAGAGAAGGGGAGGTGCACAGGTGACTAAGCCTTGGACATTTTTGCACATGAGAATAGCCAGGTACCTTCCCTGCGCCTCCACGGAAGCATCTGCCTCATGCGCGCGTTACAGAGGTTCAGATGCTTCAGCATTGACTTCCTCAGAACCTGGCATAAGCTTCCAAGAGCAGCGGCACAAATCCGGCTCCCAGTCCATTCCTTAGTCAGCGCTTGCAGGAGCTGTGGATCTAAGACCAAGAGACACTTAACAGATGCGCTCAGCAAAGGACTCCAGCTCTTGAAGTCGTTCATGAGCTGGCTGCCGTACCTGAGTCTGTCTGCTCTGAAGACGTCACCCAGGCCACGTCCAGGGAATTGAGGCACGAGCACGTGCGTCACCGCTGGCCGCGGCAAGTAACAATTGAACCACTTGGCCATGCGCAGATGCCTTGCTCCCATCACAACCCGACTTATCCAACTGTTCATGAGCGCAGATAAGCACCACGCTGCCATGGCCCGCCAATGGAGCGTTCAGCTTCATAGGCTACGTGGAAATCGAACGCTGTTGGCTGCTAGCTCATGCGCTACCACGCTCGGAACAAATAGGGGCCTCTCAAATCCTCGACTGTCCCCTACCTGCCTGCGCTCCCTGGCCAAAACGAGGTGAGCCTTGCAAAGACTGTCAGAAACCTGGATGCCCCCATTTCTCTGATCATCCAAGGTCCGGTAAAGAGGCAGAGTCATGTAAAGAATGATGCAGATGCAAACACAAGCGGCTGAATGTTGCCTGCTCAGCTACCAATGTCCACCACATGTTGGGGAGCCCTCATCTGCAGAGCCGAGAAGCATTCCAGCGTCTCCGCTCAGATCCGTGTTGGAGTGAGGACCGGGAAATCAAAGCCAAAGCACCACGGACAGGTCAAACGGCATGTTTTCCCGCTTGCGGCTCAGTTCTTCCAGCAGTACCAACAAACTCAACCAAAAGCACGCAAAGATGCTGTCTGCTTGCACTGCCCGACTAGACTCTGCAATCTCGCAGGTTGCTTGAAACATCCTACGTGCCACAAGTCCTGGACATCGCGTTACCACTAGAACAGAGGAACCAAAAAGTCAGGATCTGCGTCTCTTCACGTCTGAGTCTCATCATGGCCATCCGGCTCCCATCGCGGAACCGAATCATGGGCGACTCTGCCAGGTGCATATCACAGGACCTGAGAAGTCGGCTGGCTTTCGTGGCTGCGCTAAAGTACATGCGACTGACTCCTTGATGAACTCTGTCCTAAAAAACCGTCCAAGGACAAGACCCAGAAGGCCATGCAGCCGCCAGGTTAGAAAAAAACTCGGCCTCAGAAAAGAGAAAACTCAGGCAGAGTACCGCTTGGGTGGCTGTGCACTAAGGGCGGGGCCAGAACAGTCGTCTAATAACGAACCATCCTTGGATCCGTGGAGAGATTGAGTCACTTGTTCTACAAAGTCGTTCTGGCATGTTTGTTCTAGATCTCACACAGGATTGGAACATTGTTTTGAACTCCGTAATGTCTTTTTCCGAACCCCGCTGCACGTTGACCTCTTGATATGTCCTTCTTGTTGGACGACAGGTTTGGTTGCATGTCGCCCTCGCACTGTTTGTGAACGGATGCTGTGCATGCATTATGTGATGTTTGTAATGCAATGCTGTTCCAGTTCGAGCATGACAGCCGGCCACAGACGATTTAGGGCTTTGCAGCTTAGGCCTTGGAGTTTGGAGCTTGGGGTCGGGATGGGGGCTTCTCCGCCGAGGGGCCCGGTGGCCTGGCGCATGATGTAGAGCTCTGGCATCCCATGCAGTGGGCCGAGGGCCGTCACGGAGATCTGCGGCAAAGCGACACCAGAACGCTTAGTGGCGACAGCGCATAAGCAGGGGCACAAGCCTTTTTTCAGACTCTACATGTCTTTTCTTGCCTCCTGATCGTTCAGGTACTTGTACGCGACTCGCTTGACCTGCTCAAGAAGGCTCTGGTCTCTAGCCGCCTCTGGCCTTCACCTCATATCGGCAGAGCTCGGACCTCCTCAGCATCAACAGCATCGATTCGGAGCCTGGCACCGGCTGCAAGATTGAAGGACAAGGACAGCCCAGCGAACAAAACGATCAACACGATGTGAGAAGCTCGGTGACAGTATGCTATTTTCTCAGCACGGGCATTGGCTTTCGGCAATGCACACATGCAAGAAGACTGACAGCTGCCGTCAGTCTTCCCATCCGATGCAAGGGTCAAGACCTGCAGTGCTCAAGCTCCATGAGGAAAGGCTCTGCGTCTTCTTGCAAGATCAGCTCTGAAGTGCGCGGGTCCAGCCCGACGTGCACGTGACCTACCGTCCAGCTCACAGGCCTCTGCTGTAGTGCCTCAAATACTGCCAGGGGCAGAAGAAGTGGACAGCATTCATCCATTCTGTCTGCCTCTCCGCGGGTCAGGGCTCGAACTCGATGCCGAACTGCATAGAGGCATCGTGGAGCGCTCCCATCGAGCGGGTGTGAGAGGCCGCTGGCCAGCATGAATTGACTTCCGGCAGATGGTAGCGCGTACCAAAGTTGGTTTGCAGCCGGTCGCAGCTTCTTCCACAACCACACTCTTTGGTTCTTCGCAGCTGGGTCAGCATCGATGTCAACCACATGCCCGTCCACTGTCCTGATCCAAAACGGGCCGACAGCTTCGGCAGGAGTAGCCGGTGCTGGAGCACTGACCGTGCCAGCGGCGCTGTACTCGAAATTGATGACATTGGCTGTGCGAAAGATGTCCATAGCAGCGTTGCTGAATGCAGTCGTGATGCCAGCTTCGCCCTCCAGCAGACTGATGCCATGCTCATCATGAACATGACCGAAGCAATGCAGGGGGATTTGCCTCGTCCGAACATGCTGAAGTAGCGATGCACATCCCCAATGCGCATAGTTGCCCCTGTGCCTCGTTGTTGGGCCACAGATCCCACAAACATATTCCCCGGAGCCTCGGGAAAGCCATGCCAAATCGAGGATCCCCAAAGGTGGCTGATGCGTGATGAGGACGTCGACCGTCGGAGGTATCCTTGCCCAGTAGAGTTGCCGTTCTCCTTCGCTTGCGGACCACGCCATGCGGCAATGGTTCCACGAGCTGCCGTAGAAACTTACCCCTTCGATTGTGATCCCGGAATCGTTCAGAAGCACCGGGCGCCGAAAGCCATTCCGGACAGCAGCCTCTGGGGTGTCGCATTCAAGGTATTGCGTGAGGTCGGCACGCTGGTCAAGCAGAAGTTCGTGATTCCCACAGATCAGGACCTTGTAACGATGGGGTTCACCGAGGAACCACTCAAGGAATTCGCGAACGGCCTGCAGTCACTTACTGCGGACACTGTGGAAACTTAACATCTTGGATGAGATGGTGTTGTGGGTTGACATGACACGACCTCCTTGCAATTTGACAGCAGATGATGCCACAATGGCTCTCTCCAGCTTGCGCTACGGAGGCTACTAGCACCATGCATGCAGGTAAACTCAACGAAACCTTTGTGCAAACGAACCTGCGGCTCCTCGTCTCCTGCATTCGTGAAATCGCCGCTGTGAATCAAAACGTCTCCATCCGGCAGCTGTCCGCCATACTTGCCATTGTGAGTATCCGAAATGTGCACGATTCGCAGGAATCTGGTCTCCAAGCTTCCATTTTGCTGTACATCTCGCGACTTTACAGTCACTTCGACTGGCGGCTTGACCGGACCCATTGCGCAGTGCGACGGCAGGCTCTTCGATCAAGGAATATCAAGGAATGCATGGGGCCAGAGTGACAGAATTCTGGGTTCGGGATTCGGGTTTCGTCAAGTGTGAGGCTCCGAGAAGCCTGTCAAACACGCCAGACTGCACATCATCTCCGCAGGAGGAACACCCCGGCCGTAGGCCAAGACTTCCTTGCCCACCTGCTTGCAAGCAGTCTCTAACAAGTTGAACAGAAAGCCGTTCTCGCTCCCTGATCCTACCTGGTTGCAGCTGTCCCGAGTGCTGCCAGAGCCGTTGACCAGGGTGGCTTTCAGTTCTCGCTTTGCTCGTTCCACCTTCGAGGCAGCCCGTGCAAGCTCTGGCAAAAGCCCGCCAAGTCCCCCTTTACCGCCTCCTCATCAGTCACGGAGAAGGACAGCAAGTTGCAGCCAAACATCAGCTCGCCGATGGCATGCTCTACAGCGACCTGAACACGAGGCACCGGTTTCAGCTACAATCTTCATGCGGCTTCAGCTGACCTCATCGCAGACGATGTACCAGCCGAACCTGAAACGCCGACTTTTGTGCGGCCGCTCGAGCAGATGCGAGCAACTGCTAGGTTTCTGGCACGCCGGTGTCTTTGTAGAAGTGCATGAAGGCCTCATACTCCTGGTCGCAAGTCTCTGCTGACAAGTACGCTAGTCACTCGCAGCCGTCCTCGGCGCAACCCACGCCTTGGTACTTCGTGACTTCATGTGACTTCGGTACGGTTTCAACATTGCGTTCGTGCTTGAGGCGAGGGGGTCTGCGAACTTCGCAGGCTCAAAAAAGAAGCAGCAAAACTTCGCACGAGGTCTGCGCCCATCTTGTTGGCCACGGCGTTTGTGACACGGTTTCCTAAACTTGCAGTCAGCTAAAACAATCCCACCAAAAAGGGCTGGCGCAGCAGCCAACTTACAGTCTTTCGTACAGGCCGAGCAGCCGGAAATGCTGCCGGGAACCAGCCCAGCGTTCTTCTTGTAGGTGCCAATAATCGCCTGCTGAACGCACAATGACATTGGCCAGGCCCACCCATAAGAGCAGCGAAACAGCGACAGCCACATTCTGGATGCCGCGTGTGAGAAGACTCAGACTGGCACCTGCATCACCATGAAAGTGACGGCATCCGGACCTCGGAATCAAGACGACATCAGAAAGAGCATGGGGAACTACCTGCCATCCCACGTCCGAGCGGCTCTTCCAGGGAACTGCCTCCCAACCAGTCGAGATATAAGCCAGAGGCCCCATCTCATCGTTGCGGTAGAGGAGCTGAGCAGGGCCAAGAAGCTGCGACCCTACACCCTAAGTCCGAAACCCCAAACCGAAAGCCCAAAAACCAGGCCTAAAACCCTAGGACCCAAATAAAGCCTGAACCAAAGCCCCGTCCTGTGCACCACAGAAGTAAGGCTTGGTGGTGTACACCCGGGGAGGGCCAGCCTCACAGACACGGCTGAGCCGTCTCAGAGTGGCACTGTTGACGGCTGCTGCAGGGCTCTGAAGCTGATAGGGGGTTTAAGGGCATTGGGTTTTGAGTTTGGCGTGTCGGCACTGCGCCTTGACACCGCCGAGAGCTTTCTCTGCCAGCTTGACAAGCTCCTCGTGCTTCACGGCGCCTCGGTCCACTTGCTTAACCTCCTGCATCTCACTGCAGATTTGAACAACGAACGACATGACAGGAAGGAGGAAGCTAACCAAGCACATCTAAGGCACCAGAAGCTGCAAGAACCATCTTGTCAGCTGTGAAGTTGGTCTCATGGTGCTTTTTCAGTTGCTCCTCTGCAGACGGGTGTTGGTCTGTCCACATGCCACTTACGTCTCCATTGACAAGCACGCTTCCCTCTGCAGCTGCCTGAGACAGCGTCTCAATGCCTTCAAACGGCCCAACTGTGGAGAATCCCAGAGAGTAGTCGCGGAAGGCACATGCATGAAGCCTCGTCAAGGTCTGAGCTGGACTTGATCGTCTGCTGTGATCACCGCTAAGGAAAACCGTGTCGCATCAATGCGCCTGTCATCAATAACTTGGCGAGTTGGCTGCTCTGCTTCCTGGCCAGATCGCTTTTTGCACGAGGCGAAACACAAACTATGTCTTCCTCATCTGTCAATGCTTTGAGGGGTCTTTCTGGAGCCTATTGAGCAGCTTTGCCACGGCAGAGCCGTGTGCTTCCTTGTCACGCCTGTTACTGCTGAACTGCACCCTTCGAGCTGGCGAATCTCATATGATGCCCTTGTTTGGATCTTGTTGCGCTTCCCCTGTTCCGCCATCTTCCTGCCTTCAACGCGCCCCGGCCAAGTAGCCCCAAGAACCAAAAACGTTACAGCATCCTTTAGGAGCTCTTGGCTGTGGACAGCCCAATATGGAAGACTGTGCGAAGGCGACACAAAATGCTGGCGTCCTCGAGCTTGCGCAGGATCCCCTGCTTCTCTTTGGCCAGGTTGCCCAGGGCCTCGCTGCCCCACAGAGCGTGCGCAGTTCACAACTCATACCGACACCCGTTGACACGCGGTAGTATGAGGCACTGACAGGAGCAGTGACCATGTCTGCCAGAATGTCGACGCCCTGCAACAGCTCGAACCCAATCATGCCAATACCAAGCCAATAAGCGAATCCACCTGCGCGACGTCGCCCTTGAACATAGTCATGTTGAAGGCGGAACTCGGTGGCAAGTCCAGATCAGACGCGATCACACGTACATCAACGCCGCTTGTCAAGACTCAGCTTTGGACTGCTCTCGACCATAGCTCAAGTCCAAGGTCGCCCCGAGAGACCTGAAAGGCTCAGCCATGATACGCAGCCATTTCGCAGTCTGGAAGCTTCCGATTATATATATATATATATATATATATATATATGTATATATAATTATTATATATTATCTTATATTATATTATATTATATTATATTATATTATATTATATTATATTATATTATATTATAAGATATTATATTAAATAATATTATATTATATGTTATTATATTACATTGTATTTTCTATATTATATTCTATATATTATATTATATACATATATCTCATACAATATATATATATATATATATATATATACACTGAAGCATCCAAGATGCTCAATCTCTGCCTCAAGCTTGGCCATGGGCCTCTTCAGGACTGTCTCAGCTAATGCAGTGCAGTGACCCGCACGTCTCAACTACAGGACCGCCTTGAAGAGGGGGGGGGGTCATGTGAACGTCGGGTTGAGGACTTCGGTCGTTGGGGGCTGGGGGATTTAGCTCGAAGTTGAGGCGTCTGTTCTCGGAACTCCTGTTGAATTGACCTGTTGTGGTGCTTGCTGGGGCATGCAAATTCCCAAAAATGGCAATCAATCATTGCAGCACTTTGCCGGTCTCGCTGACATTTTAAACACAAGCCTCATACACCGGCGAAGAACATGAAAAGCCTTTACAGGACACAGACGGAAAAAGAGGGCCATGGAGTGAAATGGATTGTCAGGACATTGGGAACAGGGATCCACAGCTCAACTGCTGCGGAGGCACCGCACAGACAGCACAAGGGCCAAGAGCACCACCCTGGCCAAGTCGAGGCAAAAGGGGAAGGCAAGAAACAGAAAAGTGCCAGAAAGCCCAAATCCTGAATACCAGTTTTCAGAACACAAAGGCATACACAAAAGGAGACATGGAGAACACGGCGCCGGTTCACACCGCAAGAGCAAGAAGACAAGAAAGGGATGCAATCAGCGGTAATTTGAACCGGCCTGATCCTATCGGCTCAGCGAACCCTAGGTAAACGCTGAGAGACGGTGACACCAAACTTTGCTGCCAAAAGCTCACCATCCCAAAGCATCGGAGGGACTCGTTTCGCGATCGAATCATGTGCTCTCCGGTCTTGGGCGGAAAATCGCACCAGCGGCAGCTTCTGCAAACAGTGCTCCGCCATCGCCACTACCGCCACCACTCCTACTTCGGTCGAATCAATTTCGGCAGAAGCTCCAAGGCAACTCAGTGAAGGCTTGATGACGATGGTCTGTCAAGCATGATGCTTCGATCGAGCATCGTGCAAAACTGCTGGAGGCATTTTGCAAACATGAAACACACGCCACAAAGCGAAAATCCGTTGAAGATACATTACATTCTTGCAGCCCGCCTCTTGCTCGTGCCAGTGAGGGAGAGTTGTTCCAACAAATACGTGGCACCTCCGCAAATCGTTAACTGCCAACATGCCACAGTCGTCTTGTGCTGCAGTCCCCATGCATGTCGATAGGTGCCCTGACAACCTACACTGTCTGTAAAGGCCAAAAGTGGGCCGCACAGGTACGTGGCCTCGAGTGTCCTTCGTCTCATCCCGCACCTCAAGCTCTGCGGGCAAACCCATCTTCCGTCGCGTGACATCCTATGCTCTGAAGTAAGAACACCACAAAGGAAGGACAGCTATATCGCTCATCCACCGTCACTGTGACTGCTCTCAAAGGTGCCATGCAGATCAATCCGATTTCCTAGCGCTTTGGGCCTGAAAAAAACATTACGACTTTCTGCGGAAATCATGTTTACCCCATCGGCAACAGAGTCACACTAAGCCCTGCACGCCAGCATCCAGATAGACGCCAACAGAGGCGGTCTGGCCAAAGGTAGCTGAGGTTTGGGTTCTAGGGTGACCTCCATGCACATTTTGCCCCTGCTGTGAACTAAATTCGCAGGGCCTCGGCAAAGGTCTCCTTAGTTGCCACCTGCAGTACACGCGGGCCGCAAGTTAGAGCTCGGCACATCCAGTTGCCCGTCAAGAGCCGCTAAGGACAGCACCCTGACCCCGTTGGGAAGAGTGGTGACTTTCACTGGCGCCTTGGGCAGCTGCGCACAACAAGGCTCAATCTCAAGCCTGAAGCCTAACATCCTAAAAAATCGAAAGCCCCAAACCTAAATCCATCCTAAATGCCTGACACCCCAAATGCAAAGCCTAAACCCCACAGATCCCTCAATCCTCAACTCCCAAGCCCCGGAAGTCCGGTGCCGATGGTTTGGGACTTACGCGCGCCTGATTCCAGGCCATTGGCTCGGCCAAGATCTGCGAGACATGTCGGGCCAGACCTGGCGATCTCTCTCTTTCTCACAATTAGAAACACCAGCATCAATGGTAACGATGATCATCAGCATGGACATAAAGACAATGATAACACTCTTCAAGCTGCGGCAAGAACCGTCAAACGGTCACTCTACTCTCCGTCCCTTTTAAATGATGTTGCTTTCGTGGACGCTCACGGCACACCTCGCAACCGACGAGACGAAAATAAGACCTAGTTCGTATTTCTGTCAGATGTTGAACCGAAGTCCACCTTAAAATGTGTACTGCAGCAATTTCAGACGAATCTCTCCCCCCATCGGTGTGACTTGCACCCTGTCCTGTCCAGTGTGCTGTTTCGGCCGTCTGTCTTTTAGCTGTATCAACGCTCTTCTCGGATGCCCTCTGAAATGTTAGTTTGTATTTCTTCTTACGACCATACTGCACAAAACTTAACAGCTATCTTCGAGCCCTGCCATTTAGTCTTAGCTTTCCGTTCGCTTTGCAGGAACTGCTATGCTCCATTGAAGAAAGATATCCCAGCTGGAATAAAAATCTTTGGCCTGTCCCGTTCTGGACAGGACGTGCGAGGCTTGAGGGATTCTGTTAGCTTACATTCGGATGTATTGGGGACGGCGAAGGGGGCTGGAGGGAAAATCTCTAGGTCGCGAGTTGGGGCTTCTTCGGGTTGTGATGCATGGCTGATGTGGGTTTACGGCTGCTTCCGATTGTGCACCTTCCCTGTCTCCCATTGAGTCTCCCTTCTGTCTCGAAGTATCAAAGCACAAGTCGGGCGACGAGGGCGCACGCTGCGAGACACACGGCCAAACATTCTAATGGGCCTCAGAATGCGAAGTCAAAACTTCACTCACTCGGAAGCAAAGGGAAAGCACGTGAAATCTGTCTCGGTTCACAACGGCAATGACTTTTTCTTATCACTGGCGGAGCAGTCTGAAGCTGGATGCCATGTTCCCCAGGTGGCTGATCTGATCAGCTTTGCTGCATACGCCGTCATCCCAAAAAAAGTATGGACCGTTGTCGGACAGCATTTGCACAGGCAGCGATTGCAGCTCCAAAACCTGCAGTAACTCACAAGTTCGCTGTAGACTGCACGACACCTACGGAGAAGCAAAAGGTGCAAAGCTGAAACGACGGTTTGCAGCCCAGAAGCTGATCATGTCCGGCTCGATGAGCCTGAGTAGTGCCAGTGCATGCCTCGGCTCGGATTCATCGTTGAGCAGTGCGGCCTAAGTCCGAAGCCTCATGGAGGGCCCTCTCGCGTGGCCTCCAGCGACTTTGCTTCTCACAAGAGGTGATTGCGGCGCTGCAGATCTCCGTAGCAGGTCCTTCAGAAGACAAGGCATCGAGGAAGAGCGAAGAAATGACCGCCAGCGGTCCGACCTCCGTGACACAGTTGTAGTGCTGACTTCCAGGCGGAGACCTCGACTCGGCTGCTTGTTTCAAGGCACACCGTCAATGCGCAGGCAAACCAGCTCAGTATCTCGCCTGATCACAGCTGGCTGCTGCAAGGCTCCAGTTGATGGAATCCCTCTTCAACTGCTTGCAGTGCCTCGGGCTCGAGAGCTGATGTTCACACAGACGGACTGCAGCTGCAAAGCCAGGGAGCATGTGTTGGAGCTGCTCCAGCGACACCGTCCAGCGACCGACCTCAAAAAAAGATGTTTGGGCACCGCCACTTCTTGAGCTACGTACAGCTGGGCTGTGGGCACTCGAAAAGCTCATCGCATTTGCCCGGATGGAAACCTGATGACAAAGTACTCGGCTTTCGTCACTTGCTGCCCACATCATCCGCGCCTGCGAGATCTGGGCCAGTAGGTCCATTGACTTCTCCCAGGCATCGCATCTCTGGTGAGCAAAGGCCCTTAGCCGGATTTCACAGCAGCTACCACCAGGAAATGACTCCATCTGATTCGTGTTTCAAGTCATGAATTACAGAATCACAAAGTCCCCATGAGATGCGATGCTGCGAGGCCTTCTGCCTCTGTGCCTCATGCTGCAAAAATCAACCTGCGAGCTGGATTTATCCGTTTCAAGGGCTGCTCGTGGCCTGGGCCTCTGCTTGTCTCCCCCCCCTGCACTCCTGTACCGAGCTGACATATGATTCCCGTGACCCGAACTGCCAAACCCTGCGGCAATGCCATGGCCACAAGGTCATTATGAAGGGTTGCGGCAACAGCGTTACCACACCTAAATTAAATGGCAAGTCTTGCACGCTCCGTAGCCGCATGCAGCAGCGGCCAGGAAAAATTTGATTGCAACAAACGCAGGCAAGCTTCAGACTGTTGTAGCTGAATAGACTGGCACGAAGATGAGCCTGCACGTCCAGTGCAATCTGTCAGTCAATATCTCTACAGGACAAGCTCAATGTTTCGGATCAGCCTGACACGTGTAGATTCAGACTGTGTGCCTTTGCCTTCAGCATCTGCTGAAGAAGCATTGCTGCCAGCTGAGAGTTTCCACCATCCGCACAGGCGATGATGGAACCTTGTGCTGACACAGTCAGACATGATATGAAACTTCCTTGGCCCTGCTTGTCGGCAAAGACACAGTTGTAGCTGACCGCATTTTGCAGGAGGGCGATGTCGCTCATGGAGTGGCAGATATGCACCGCATGCTGCCAACTGCCAACCCTGCACAGTCACATGTTGCATGGAACTGGCTTGATGCCAAGCATTATCTGACAGGCCGAGGCACTCGTGCTAAAAATGTTGGGGGAAGAAAAGCAATGGAAAAGCCACCGACCCACCTGCAAAACCCAACACACCGCCCATAGTGCAAGTGAAAATAGGAGGATGCGTGGTTCTTCACCAAGATACGCGCAAGACACAAGCAACACGTGTCAAAACAACGCAGAAAACGACGGCCCTTGCCCGTGTACAGGACCCAGGGCTTCAAAATAGAACACAGAGCCCTGGAAGATCAGGCCAGTGCGCTCACAGAAGTATGTATCCAAGATCTAGAGTCGAAACTTGATGAAGCTTTGGAGGGCCGGCTGCGAATCCAGCGTTCAGCCAAAGGTGCACGAGACTATGGTGAGACCGGCCTTCGTGACGAAACGAGACGGACTTACGTCCCCAATAAGTCACGAAAATACAAGGTAGAACTTTCAGATTCCTACGAAATTATAACAACCCAAAATTTTGAAAAGATTAAAGGTTGGGTATTGGAGAACTAAGGCAGAACGCAACTGCGGCAACACCGAAATGAGTGCGGGGCACGCAGTTGGCTCGAGATGAGCACACACTGGTACAGAGAGAATCACAATACCGGGCCCTGCACGCCGTGCATCGTCAAGAGTCTTTCAATTTCAAACAGATATTGACCGAACTATGAGACAACGCAGTTAAAGTTCGAGACTGCAAACACATGCATTCCGGGCTGTTCTCGTGAAAGCCGTAGTACTGTAGTATCTTGTGAGTGATAAATGGCTGGAGGGTGTCACTTTGTCTTGGCAGGTCACGTTGCTCCTCTGATTAAGCCGGTCTACCGCACACCCGGGCTGGCCTGCTTCCGGTCGCTCGGCAGGCGGTTGCCACATGGTGGCAGAGCACGGCATCGATGCGAAGTCGAAGGAAACGGAGATTCTCGAAGAGCTCCAGAGCGTAAACCCAGGGTCCCCGAGTCGCCAAAGCACTGAATGCAATCGGATCGCTGCTCGTCTGCCCAAGGAGATGAAAGGCCACATCCCAGGGGCTCCCCTCGAAAGACTGTTACAACAAAGGAGGGCTTACTATGAACCTGCCGACCTTCCTGGCTACAGGTCCCACATCGACAGCAAGCGTCGACATGAACGGCGCAGCTGCGGCTGATCACATTTGGCAGAACCCCGACTTCTGTCATGGACCTGTGCGGGATACTCCTCTTCAAAACATCCAATCCACCGATTCAACGCAAATTTCGAGACATGTTAACTGCCTCAGAAAACTGACGGCCACGTGCCACACCCTCGAGCAGGCATTCATGCATATATTATAGCCTCAGATGTGCCGAGCACACCACGCGACTTCGCGCAGAAACCTCTGGCAACGTCTGCAATGACTACAGCGCCGGAAAGCTGGTCTGGCTGCAGCTCAGTACCCTGTGCATCCTAAGCTGTGTCAGTATGCAAGACAAGTGCCTCTTGCCCTGTCCCGTGAAATGCAGTGCGCAAGCACAGGCCAGGACTCCCATCGAGCAGGTGTATTGCTGTCGCCCACGACCAGCCTTCACATGCGCCGATGGCACCTGAGCTTCCCAAATCCATGCAAATCCCATCACAGTGCTGACGTCACGCACATGAAGCAACAAGGTGCAGACAAACCGGAATCCAAAGCTGCCAAGGCAGTCCAAGACTCTGTTGTAAGTCACCTCATTCGGCAAGATTCCAACCTGCAGTTGTTTGGTGCAGGAACAAAGCCAGATACGAATTCGTTCGCGCCGAAGGCAGGCCTGAGACATGCTTTGAAAAATATCTACCGCCAGATGCCATGCTTTCCCCTTCTCGCAGGCAGCCACGGCGGAAGTGAAGTGGAACACATTCGTCTCGACCTTGGTCCAGTTGGCACATTTCGGATAATGCAGCCATGTGCCGGAAGCTCTGAGATATCTACAGTGCCTTCGGGGGGCCGTGCAAGCGCGCATCACCTGCCGTCACCAACCGTTTTCACTGCAAGTTTGCACATCACACAGACATCCTCCCCAGCTTGAATACCATCATGTTGCTCTCAAATTCCGTGTAGTTTCTAGCGCTAGACAGCCGAAATGGAAGCTGCTCGTCCTTGCAGGAATGTTTCACACCGCCTGCCTGCAAAACTCGCACTGCGACATCCCAGCGCTGAACCTGAATGCAAGCACACATAGCAACCGAATCGGAGCTGAACGTTTCCATTGGCGTGGCACAAACAAAGTCCTGCTTGCTATGGACCTGCCTCTACCATTACAAAGAGCCACTTTTACTTATACAGCTCACTTGACAAGTATGAGTTCCTGTCAGGCCCGCTTCCCGTGGCAGTCGACCCAGGGAAGGACCTTCAGAAAGGTATATGAGGAGGAGGATGATGATGAAGTTGATGATGACGATGAGGAGGATGATAATGATGATGATGATGCTGATCACGACTTCGAAACATCCAGGGCGACCCAAACCGCGAACCACGCCGCACCACAGGGGCTGAGGGACTGAGAGCGGACCCAAACCCCGAACCACACCACACCATAGGGGGGGAAGGGGTACCAACCATTGGGGGGGAGGGGGGGGCCCGGTCGAACCGGGATCATATATATATATATATATCACAAATATCTATACATATGCATAAATCTACATATACATATACTTATGTATATACATATATATACATACATACATATATA